ATAGCACCTTATAGTGTTCTCCTTCTCCCCAAGGCACTTCACTGCATAACCAGTCACTCACCTATACACGTACACATTTATACCCTTGTGATAAAGAGCTACGATGTAGCCACAGCTGCACTGGGGCACACTGATGAAAGCAGGGCTGCCTTGCACAGGTGCCATCAATTCCTCTGGCCACCATCAGCAGGCTAGGTGAGTTAGGTGTCTTGCCCAAGTACACACTGACAGTGACAGACTGAGTGAGACTCTATCTCACAATCTTCCACTTATGAGACAAGCACCATGGATGTAACTCCTCTTCCATGTGGTGTTACTTTGGCAGCATCACCAAGACAACACAATTTCTATCAGTCCTTCCTTGCTTCCCACAAATTTTTGTTGAGTCGTTATCAGAAAAATATCACAGTTCTTTGTGTGTGCTTGGTATGTACCGAGCATCTTATCAAAAAGCACTATAGGTGAAAGGGCTGCCGTTTCTCTTTAACGTGACTGACAAGTTGAGAAGCAGGCAACAACTTGGCATCTGATCCTACAGCAGCTCATACACCATGCACAACCATATGTGTGTGTATATACCTTATTAATGATTAGTCTGAAGAGAAAGTTCTTCAGATCAAATACTGGTGCACTCAGCAACTACTGATCTGCGTGTGCACGCGTGCAAACAAACACACACACACACACGTAGTAGATTCATAAGGCAAGAGTTTTATAGCTATTCTGTCCTGATCCCTAAATCCTTGAGACTTGTCAGCACCAGAGCTCATGGAAAATGCCTAGAGAAAAAAAGCTTGTAAGTTTTAAGAAAAGTGCTGAAAAGGGTATAATATGTTTCTGACATATTATACCTATGTATGAGATCCAAGATGGCACCGCAGATGGCTGCCTTGGTACTTTGGTGCGCTGTAATTGTTCTGTTTTTGTGTGTAAATTGCGTATCTGGGTTCTCCTACTCAGTTCTCCTACTCAAGAGAAGAACTCATAAGTTACAATACTATGATTCCGGTGGACTTAACCTCGTTTTTTGTTGGATCCGGGGCCGATTCAATATCAACTGTGATCAGGGTTAGGGTTAGGGTTAAACACCGATCCGGACCAAGACAGCACAAAATATAATAGAAAGAGCACAGAGAGCACTGCTCAAGGAGAGGATAAGAAACGTCATAACCAAACAGAGGCGAGTGGAGGATGAACTGGAAAGAAGACACCTGGACTTAAAAAGGAATTACAAACTCAATGAACAAATGGATGAACTACCGTAAATCCTCTAATACAGGCCGGTATTCAATTAAAGGCCGGGTCTCCAATTTTGGCCGGTGTCGGAGTCAGCGGAGGTAAATAATGGCCGGTCTCTTATTGTGGCCGGATGGAATGTGGTAACAAGCAAGTACGAGCGTCCCAGCGGCAAGGTTAAAGTCCACAAATCAGACAGCAGGTGGCAGTAGGGGTTCACGCAGACCTTTATTAAGCTTTTTCTTCAACGCTTTGTAACGCTACAGACACGATCCTCTATCACGCTCCTACCACACAGAGTCACGGTGTCAGTTAACCATGCTAATTCAACCTGCTCCACAGAACACACATCACCTTCCCTGTGGCTTACATAACACTCACACAACACGCAAATCAGCACATAGGAACTAGCAGAACGATAGGAAACACATATAACACAATACCCAGAATGCACCTGGCTTACAACCCCAGCCAGGTCATTACACTATCAAGTTCAAAGAGAGCGTGCTGATTATGCTGCAGAACACACTGGAGAGCAGCAGTAGGGGGTGTATGAACTACAGTAATCCCTCGTTTATCGCGGTAGATGCGTTCCAGACCTGGCCGCGATAGGTGAAAATCCGCGAAGTAGGGACTCCCAGCATGCCCCTCGCGGGGATTCCCTCCACGTCGCACCTACGTCACAAACCGCGGCTATAAACGGAAGTCGCCTTTCCAGCTCACCACTCAGTCATCGTTTCTTCAGATTCATGATCAGAGTTTCCAACCTACCAATCAATCCAACGAACTATCAGCTCATAGTAAGTTATCTTACTTACTTCTGGAAAGCCCGGCATTTCCGTGTCACTTCGTTGACGCTCGAACGCTCGGGGGTTTCCTAGAGCAGCCGGCGTTTCACCGACGCTATCACTTCCGCGTCTGTGAAACCACGCTCCCTATTGAATTATCGTATGATCACATTCTCTGTGATCAGCAACGCGCTGTGCCAGACCGTAGGTACTGACACGCGATCGTTCATGTCGGTTCATTTCCTTTAATGTTTTCTGTCTTTTATTTGCGCCTGATGTGTATCGCTGCATGCTGTGGAGCGGGGCGCTGCGGGCATCACCTTGTCCTCCGACGCACTGATCACTGATACGGCCGCCAAACAGCGAGCGCTCCGCTGTTTTTGCGGTCGGTAGATCTTTTAGAACTGCAGTTCAAAGGTAACTCATAAGGTGAATATATATGAACCCAGGCAGCAGTTTTTCTTTAGGATTGAGAGGAGATGCAGGAAGATAATAAACAGACAGGACAGAAAAATAGTCAAATAAAAACAAGTTAGTTTTTGTACCTGCTGTTGCAACAAACAGACACCATTGAAGGTCATCAGAAGTGAGGAACAGAAAATGAAATAATTATTTTAATGTTTAGAGCAGCAGGAACTCCGAGAGGCTGCAGGCGCATCAGTGAGTTTGCGGCTGCTGCGCAGGGGGAGGGAGGAGAGGGCTGAAGCAGGAACTACCCTTGTTAAAAGAAATGCGTTTAACTTTGAAAATGTGGGCGCAATTTTAATTGTCAAAAACTCCAGCGAACCATTAGTTAATTTTGCTCAAATAGAATTAGAGGTCTGCCTCTAATACTGGCCCTCCTTCCAATAAAGGCCTGGAGCTTGATGAGCTTGAGTCAAATACAGGCCCGGGCCTGTATTAGAGGATTTACGGTAATTAAAGGACACATGATAGAAAAACAGAAAAAATAGTTCACAAAAGTAAAAGAAAGACACGTAAAGAAGTTAAATAAACTCATAAATAAGAAAAAGAGGGAGGAAATACAAGATAGCTCCACACCAAATGCATGGGTATGTAACATTTCACAATACGAACTAACAGAAGCAGAGGAGAGCATATTAAAGAAAGGTTTAAACTTTGCAGTCACACCAAAAGAAATACCATATGATGAATTTATTGTAGCAACAGAACTAGCATGTCAACAGATCACAGATGAGGGAAAGAAAGCAGAACTTAGAAATAACATAGTTGGGATATTAAAAAACAGCCAAATTCAACACAGCAATATTACAAAAGAAGAACAATCATGACAGCTTTATCCAAAAATGAACAGATAATTATTCTACCGGCAGATAAAGGAAGAACCACAGTGGTAATGGACAGAGAAACAGATGCTAGAGGACAAAAATACATACAAAATACTTAAAAAAGACCCAACAGAAAACATTAAGAAAAACATGAAAAAATTACTGAAGCCACTACAAGACAAAGGCAAAATAACAGAAAAAATGTACAAACATTGGATTCCTACGGCGAACATAACACCAGGAATCTATGGAACGCCAAAAATACATAAACAAAACACCCCACTTAGACCAATAGTTGATAGCATAGGTACACCAACATACAACATGGCAAGAGATATCAGCAAAATCATCAGCCCGTTATTAGGAAAGACAGATCAACACTGCAAAAACAGCATAGAACTGGCAAAAGAACTAAAGGAGATTACAAGAGAAGACAAAGACACACTCATCTCACACGACGTCACATCCCTGTTCACAAAAACACCAACCCAAAAAACCATTGACATAGTAGTTAACAGAATCAGACAGGACAAGACTTTACACAAAAGAACAAACCTTTCAGCAGACGACATAGCACAACTGATAGGACTGGTAGCTAACTCCACTTACTTCACATACGACAACGCAATATACAAACAACTGGAAGGCTTCGCCATGGGTAACCCGTTATCAGTCACCCTGTGCGAGTTTTTCATGGAGGACCTAGAACAAAAAGCCATAGCCACTGCCCCCCCCCAAACTGTAAAATAAAACTATGGAAACGCTACGTGGACGACATACTGGAAATCATACCGAAAGGACAAACAGAAACACTAACACAACACTTAAATAACGTTGACGACACAGGCAACATAAAATTCACTTATGAGATAGAAACAGAAGGAAACTTTCTCTTGGTTAGTGTCTGGAAAACATTCAGCTCCCGCCTGGTGCTGTAGTTTGCAACCAGCATTTTACCCGTGATTCTGCACGTCTCCGTTTGAAGAGGGAGGCAATGCCCACCGTGGCTCTTCGGCGATTTAGATGCAGCCCACCGACTCTGCTCCCCCACCATGGCGGGCTCCAGTCTGAGGTGAGTAAGCTAAATAAAAGTTAACATCTTCTAAAGACAATTTCCTACCTAAATGCAAAGTTTGAGAGACGTGGTTCACTCCATTTAGCTAATATCAGCCTGCACTGCCTTCGGGCAGATTTGTCAAGTTCACAAAATGTGGAACGGGATGTAAGGTTAGAATCAGCGGCGAATCGGAACATATCTCGAAGCCCTGGCCGACAAAACGGTCCACATGACTGTCAGGCTCGGAGAAAATTCGGGTTGCTTTTGTGTCAGTCGGCAATTCTGCAACAGTGGCTCTAACTGACGCAGCACTAGTTGACAGACAGCATTACAGCGTGAAATCCAGCTTGTGACCCAGTTCTGTGAGGAATTCTGTTCAGGAGGTCGCATTTCAGGCTCTCCACATCATATGTGACTGACTTTTACGTTATAATAACATCACACACTAGGAATGTTATAAAGCGCCTATATAGGACAGTTTCTTTTGTTTATTGTCTGACTTTATAAACAACAACAGTGTGCTTCTATTTTTTTTTTTCAGGCTAAATCTGCCCAAGACACTGGCTGTCAGACTAATTTTGTAGTCTGCAAGAATGCACTTGTCCAGGCTGACGTGAAGCCTTACCCGTAGCAAAGGTGAATTATTTTTAATAATCTTCTATGTTAACATTTTATTACCTTCTAGTTTTAATTTGTTTTACAGATTGTTACACGTGATTTTATGCTCTTTTAAACGTTTATAAATGTACTGCTTTTGTTTTTTATAGAGCTCACAGCCGCAGTGTGTGTCTTGTGACACAGGGACCATGATGGAAATTCATCTTCCAGAAAGTCCCAGAGCAGCATCCACACCCCTGAAAAGACCAAGATGTGAGGTGTCTGCTGTTGATTCCAGCTTCCACCTCAGTGACAGTGCAAGCTCAGTGAACTGTTCAAGGTAAAAAAAAAAATTAAAACATTTCAGAATTTTTAAGATATTAACAATTACATAAATGTATGTGATTACGTCATGAAGGAGGCTACTGATTCTGGCCCTGTGACACTTGGTGGTGACGTGTGAGCTGATTCACCTGGTAAATAACTTTTACATTAACTATTTTTTTCTTTGCTATCAAAAGTAAATTAACTAATAACCTGCATTATTGCAGGACACTCAGCAAAATATGGACTCTACACCATGAGGCAGGCACACGTTAATACTCTATAAGAGCGCATAAGATGAGCAACACCACAGATTATTTTTATTACTGTACACTGTCCTGGATTTGTTTTCTTTCTGCATGATTTGTTTTCTTTCTGCATCTCATCATTAGCCTGGCTGATCACCTGATAACTCCTGTCATCTGGTTATGACAGCATGAGGATGTCCTCACACACCTGTAACCAATCAGCTCATCTGGCAGAATAGAGAGAAGAGACAACACCACATCTCCTGTTCCTGGAAAGCCTTCAGCCATCCTTCGATGACTGAGAACCTCCATCAGCTCTGTCTCCTGTCTGCCCACAATTATTATAATAAATATTGTGTTTGACAAGTTTTTTGTGCTGCCAAATATCTCATTTTGATTCCAGTTTTGATATTTTAAGGGATATTTATAAATTACATTAATTGAATTATCACATTGGTGCATGTTTAACTAGCTCTATTGTGATGAATTAAACTAGCACCTCACTGTTAAAAGCTCGTTTTAATTTCAAGCATGTTTAAGTATTTATGGACATGAACAAAAACAGGAAATATATAAATTGAGATTCATTTAATTAATATAACAAATAAGGGGGAGAGAGTCATTGAAAGGCACATTCTTCTGGAAGCTCCTGATTCTGACGACACCAGAGACCAGCTGCAGACACCAGAGGATCACCTGCAACCAAGAGCAGCTAGTATCAGTAAATAAATAAATCAGGGCAATTTTTGTGGGCTGAACACATTACAGAATAATTTTCTCATGGGGTATTTTCATAACTTTCTATGCAGCAGATTGTAACTTGAGCCCAGGACTCCTGGAGAGCTGCTATCCAGCATGTTTCAGTGGTTTTCCTGCTTAAAAAGGTTAGATTAGCTGTTAAGCAGCTCAGCTATTTGTTGCTGATTAAAACCAGGTGTTTTGAAGCAGATAAACCTCTAAAACATGCTGAATGCTAGCTCTCTCGGGCCGTGGAGCAAAACCCTGCAGCTAATCTGATGCTATGGCTAATGGCTACTTACCATTCAGAGCTGGTTCTGTTGGGTCGGTTCCGGTAATTTCAGGCAACTCACAATCTCAAAACAATAAGGCTCAGGTCCGCTTGTCTCCTCCAAATAGACTTGGTCCCTTTCTTCTCGAGTGTCTGGGTAAGGAGGGGGAGAAACCTCTTCCACTTCTAATAACTGCTCAGTGTGAAGGGAGCTAGCATCGTCTCGTTAGCCATCGTCTTTGTCACTGCCGCGGCTCCGCCCTCTCGGTCCTCCAGGCAACGCCTACTAATGTTGCAGTTTTTAAAATTGATACGTGGGTGGAGTAAGACTCTGAGGGGGGCATTACCACGTCTTTAAATATGTCCTTCAGAAGTGAAATTGGACCTGTCCAACTTCTCATCACCATTCGAAAAGTACTGCACCGAATTGAAAAATTGAAAAAGTGTGAGCGGCAGAAGGCTTTGATGATCATCTGTGTGTATTTTTATGTGCCTACCATGAATTGTCTAGAACAGGGGTGTCAAACTCAAACTCACAAGGGGCCGAAATGAAACTCTGGGACGGAGTCGAGGGCCAAACTTAATATTTTTGAAAAAGTGACAGCAAATTTGCACATTTTCTTTATCAACATATATGCAATTTTGAACCTTTAAATTTGGAAACAAACTTATTTCTGCATTAACACTGAATGTGGAATAACCAAATTACACACGAGCAAGTCAGTTTTAAATAAAAGGCATCAGTGGTATTCATTACTTGTGGTATAATCAGCATTTTTAAAATCTATTCAGGATTTATGTTTTCTTGTTTATTCATTTTTCTTATTTTTTATTCTCCTTTTTTCTCCTGTAATAAGTGTCATCGCTGCTGTGACATCTAGCTTTCCCCACTGAGGAACAATAAAGGGATTTTCTATTCTATTCATCTATCTGCAGCCTTTCCACTTCCTGTTTACTGTAGGTTAAATATTTTCTCACGTGCCAACAACAAAATAAAAATATCATTTTATCTTAAATGAAAATGCAACATCTCACCTGTTAACTTTCATGTTTTGGAGCAGAAAAAGAGCATAAAACCAACATATTTAAAGCTCAGTTTGTTCCACTGGTTTACTGTGATGCTCACCTGTTCCAGCCAGATACCTGCATCATGGGGTTGATCTGAGCTGAGGAGGAGACTCCTGTTGTTTTGTTCATCTTCATCATCATAATGACAACATTAGATGAATACAGGTGCTCACATAGGTTTGTGCTGATGAACATGTCTGAGCAGCTTGACCACGTTGTTGTGTGTCGGGGAGGAAACACAACCACAGAGCCGTGCTGGTTTGAGCGTGTCGCTGTTCGCTGGAGTTATATCGGCTCTGTCTGGAAGTTAGTTGGAACACTTTCTCTTTCAGTCATGAACACATTACTGAGCGATTAAAATCTCCGTTTCTGGGCTTCAACGCCAGAAAATAGCTGAGTGAACTCGGCGCTGAGTGAGAGGAGTGTAGTTTGTCCGAGACAGAGGAGCTGTAGAGACCGGCAGCAGGCGCTGAAAAAAACACAAAGGAGGGGGCACGTCGGCTCCGCGCTGACGCCGCAAAGCATCATGGGAGTTGAAGTATTTGCGGTAAAATCGGCCAGCGGGCCAGTTTTAATATATTTTTGATATTTATCTCGCGGGCCACATAAAAATGCTCCGCGGGCCAGATGCGGCCCGCGGGCCTTGACTCTGACATATGTGGTCTAGAAGCTATGATGAGAAACTTTTAGCTGTCTGAAGCCGATCAGAGGAGAAAATCTCTGTTCTTTTAACATGGCTTTCAATGAGGGAGAATCTGGGTCTCTCCTCTTTCTGAGGCTTGTAGCGAAAGAACGGTAACACTTACAGATAAAATGAAACCCATTCTGAAAAGCTGACAAAAATTCCTACTTTTTGAGATATAATTTGTTTTGGTAGTCCAAACGGTCTGGGTGTAGTAAAGAGTTGTTCACAGAAGATGTGAAGTTCAAAAGTTAGAGTGCGGAATTCTCAAGTTAGAGTGGGGAGAGACCTTTTTTTAAATTTGAATTTTCTCAAACAAATGAACCGTAGGACCACAATGTTTGGAGTACAGTCATAAATTATAGCTCAAAACGAAGCTATATTCGTTAGCTGTAAGCCAGCATGTGTCTCATTTCAGTCGGACCTAAGGTTCTCTCGAGACAACTTCGGAAATGGAGCAAGGGAGGGTCACTGCTCCTATCTTTCCCCATTATAACTTTTGTGAATTTTTCTTAAAATTTCAAGTCGCACCTCAAATTCTACCTGCGATTTTAGAACAACCGTAAAAGACATCAAAAAGCCTCTTTAATATGTTAAACAGGAAAGTCTTGTGAGTTTGTTAACATTTGAATTAAGTCTCTAAGTTAAAAGGAACCCAATAGAGTTTTAGGTCAAAAAAGTGATAGGAATTTGCTGAAAAATTGACCAATCCCATTCATTTCAATGGGAAATTTTTCGCAGAAAAAGCTTGATAACTCAAAAAATTTAAAAGATATCAATGCCAAAAGTAATAGCCGGAAAGAGCTTAACGAGCTGAACGTTTTTATATAAAATTGTTGAAATAGCTCAAAATTTGAAGGAGAAGAAGAGGTTCAAAAAGTGTACGGAAGCAGAATAAGAAGAAGCAGAAGAATAAAGAAAAACAGGAAAACAATAGTTTGAATGCTTAACAGCTTATGTTAAATTTGGTAACTAATTGCCTAAATTCTTGAATTGCTGAAGTGAAGCTGAAACTAAGCTGAACTGGCAAATGAGCTGAATGTATTTAAAAATTTAGAAGCAAAAATCACCAACAAGTCTAATAAAGCTCAGAATATAGGTGAAGAATGGACAAAAAATGCCTAACAGCAGAAAACTTTAATCTTTGAACATTGATTAAAAACTCGAAATTTGAAATGTTAAACAGCTGACATTTGAATGAGAATAGTTTAATGGGTACATTTTTACAAATGGCTGAACTGTGAATTTGGAAACATTTGCTGATATCTGAAACTGATAGATTAACATATGTTCAGACTTGTTATGGGATGGATGAATGGTTGGATGAATTAAATGACGGATGGATTGTTGGATGAATGTTAGAGGGTTTATTAGATGGATGGATGGATGGATGAATGGATGGATGGATGGACAGAAGCATGTATGGATTTATATATGGATGGATGGATTCCTTAGGCCAAGCCGATCGATTTCATGTCTCACATGTGTGGGTGTGTAATTCCATTTAGCCAGAAGATGATTGACCTCTCTCAACCAATCAGGAAGCTGGGAGGGAGTGGGGCACTTTCCCACCTTCTGATGGTCAATCAAATTTTTAAGTGAATCTGACAGTTTTTCTTACCAAGTGTCCAGAAGGACAATATTTATGTACATTTCTTCTCTGTAGAGGGAACTAAAGTTTGAGTAATTACGAAACAAGGAGTCTTTATGGTCATTTGTGTCCATTTGGTTGTAATCAGTAAATTTCCCTTTGAGTCCCCCAACACACCCTAAAATGAGCACATGGATGATGTAGTCTCCTTTTATTGAATTAGTTGTGATAAATTATGAAAATATTAGCTGGTTTTGTGCCAATCAATTTTAGTCATCAATTTTCCTTAGTCTTCACTCTGTGTAATTAGTGTACTGCAGGCTTTTCTTTTATTATATTTATCCATTCATTCTTTTTCTTCCACTTATCCAATGTTGGGACATCTCTCTCCCCAGCGACTTGGGCCAGCTCCTCCGGGGAAATCTCAAGTCGTTCCCTGGCCAGCTGAAAGACAAAGTCCCTCCAGTGTGCCATGGGTCTTCCTTTAGGTCTCCTCCCGATTGGATGTGTCCGGAAGACCTCAACAGGGAGGCATCTTAACTAGATGCCCGAGCCACCTCAACTGGCTCCTATTCATGTGGAGGAGCAGCAGGTCTACTCCGAGCCCCTCCCGGATGACCGAGCTTCTCACACTCTCTAAAGAAGAGCCCAGTCACCCTGTGGAGAAACTTCATTTTGACCGCTTGTATCCGCAATCTCTTTTTTGGTCACTACCCAAAGCTCGTGACCATAGGTGAAGGCATGAACATAGATCGACAGGTAATTCAAGAGCTTCGCCTTTCGGCTCAGCTCTTGTACCAAATCAGACCTGTACAACACCCGCATCACTGCAGAAACAGCACCAATCCGTCTGTCGATCTTACACTCCAGCTTTCCCTCACTTGTGAACAAGACCCAAGATACTTCATCTCCTCCGTTTGGGGCAGAACTTCATCCCTGACACAGATAAGGCATTCTACCCTTCTCCGACTCAAGACCATGGTCTCAGATTTAGAGAGCTGATTCTCATCCCAGCTGCTT